TTGTTGATGGGCACTTAGGTTGTTTCCAACTCCTTGCTATCACGAACAAAGACATGATAAACATGGGCGTGTATATATCTGGATGTCAGTTATGGTTTCTTGCTGGAGAAGAGTTTTGAGGGTACCATGGACTGCTAGGAAAACAAACAGATTCATCCTGGAAAGGGTTAAACCAGAAGGCTCCTTGGAGGCAAGGATTCTGACGCTCCGTCTAACATACTTTGGACATGTTGTAAGGAGAGACTGGTCCTTGGAGAGGGACATCATGCTTGGGAGGGTGGAGGGACAGCACAGGAGGCGAAGGCCCTCTATGAGGTGGATTGATTCAGTGACTGGGGTAAGCGGGATGGTATGTCAGAGACAGTGCGATTGGCACAGGACAGAGCAGAGTTTAAGGCTGTTGTACAAAGGGTCGCTGTGGGTCACAAGCGACTAGACGGCACATAACAACAACAACAACAATATATTCCCAGTGGTGGAATTGCTGGGTCAAATGGTATTTCTATTTTCAACTTTTTGAGAAAGTGCCATACCACCTTCCACAGTGGTTGCACCATTTTACACTTCCACCAACAGCGAATAAGGGTTCCAGTTTCTCCACAGCCTCACCAGCATTTGTTGCTTGCTGTTCTGTTAAATTTTGCTATTCTAACTGGGGTGAGATGATATCTCATAGTTGTTTTTCTAACATTTCTTTTAAAGAAACCTAAGGGAACTCTGGTGGCCCAGTGGGCAAGGAGTTGCATTGCCATCCCTAAGGCACATGGTTCAATCCACCAGCTGCTCCTCCAGAGAAAGATGGGAAATCTCCTCCCATGTGATTTCAAGCCTCTGAAAATCTGCTGGAGGGGCAGCCATGAGTTGGCTCCAACCTGACAGTACAGAGCAGCAAGCTGAGCCTAGGGAGCTCTGATGGCTTACTGGGTAAAGAGTTGCACTGCCAACTCAAAGGTACATGGTTTGAATCTACAGCAGCTCCACAGGAGAAAGGTGGGCAATCTCTTCCGTCAGGTCAGCTATGAGTTGCTTCTGACTCGATAGCATAGCACAACAAGCTAAGCCTAAAAGCACAGGGCAGAGGAAGTGGCACCTTCATTCGTTCATCATTCATTAACTGGACAAACACTCCTGTAGGACCTTCTTTGTACCTGGAGCTGAACAACACAATGGGAAGGGCAATGGCTCAGGTGAGATGTGGTAGAGTGAAGACTGGTTCTGCCCTTTCTGGCACAAAGCCTCTCTGAGCCTCAGGGATTATTTGCTTACAGAGGAATGGGAACCACAGTGCCTCCAAGGGCTCCAGGCAGAGTTCAGTGAGCTCTCCAGCCAAAGCACAGGGCTCAGCACTCAGCAAACAGTAAATGGAGCCCCACTGAATTCCAGTCAATCCTGCCTCATGACACGCCCTCCCCAGAACAAAGTGGAAATGACTCCAAAGGTGGAATCTCTATGGTAACAGATTGCCACATCTTTCTTCCACAGAAGCACTAGTGAGCCACCAAATGGATTGTTGTTATGTGCCCTCTGGTCAGGACCGACCCATAGCTGACCCTCCAGCAGCTTTTCAGAAGTTGTAAATCACACAGGAGGAGACTGCCCATCCTTCTCCCACTGGTTCAAACTGCCAGGCACTGGGTTGGCAGAGCAATTCCTTACCCAATAGGCCACCAGAGCTCCCTCACCAAGTAGGAATTGCTCTCAAATACAAAAAAATTTGACGCCTCCCTCCCTTTTCTCTGCCCTTCCATTGTTACTACCAGAATGAGCTGCTTTCTCCTGCTGGTCCTGGGTCCCACTGACACATGTTACACATCAGCCAAGCCCACATCCTCTGTCATAGAACAATGTGTCTCCTTCACAAGCCCCCACTCTGTCCCAGATTCCTTCTCCTTGGGGTCCTGCCAGAACCAAACAGCTAGCATCCCCTTTAGCCTCTTACCTTCACTGGCTTCCTGTTACCCCTATGTGGGCAGAGACACCCCCCACCCTATGCAGGTGATGACACCCCAGGAAGCAGCTAGCACTCTGCCGGAACCTGCTCCAGCCTGCCCTGATGAGGAGACTCAGGATCCATGCTCCCTTCTCCCCAGAACAATTTCTCAGTCCTCCCAACGGCACTGTCGCCTCAGGCTAGGAACAGCCAGCTTTGTAGATGAAGAGTGGAATTCAAGGCAGGGAGTTTAGGCAAGGGGTTCCTGATGATTCTCACGTACTAGCTGTGTGTCTTTGGGTAAAACACTTGACTTCTCCGAGTCTGAATTGTTCTCATCTGAAAAGTAGAGACCCAATTCCAAAATGCCTTGTCCAAACTCCTTGGATCCAGATGTGTTTCAGAATGTCTAGGGTTTTAGGATGCTGCCGTGCACTCACCATCACGCCCCCAGCAGGGGATGGAGCTTCGGGCTGTACTCAAATGAGATTTCAGTAGCAAATTGTATGAATATTCACACTAAGTGGGCTAAAAAGACTATAAATAGCCTCAGGTCAGATTCAGCAGTCAAAATGAGTTATTAAAAAAGAATGAAAAATCTTTTCGTTTTTCAAAGCTTTGAGGGACTTTGACATTGCAGATAAAGGAGTGTGTGCTTGTGAAAACATATTCTCCCTGGAAGAGCTGTGGGGACTGCAGTGAATAAGATGCTGAACTCAGTGCAGAGGATCAAACAAACAAGGGCCAGAAAGGACTGGGCAGGGTGAAGGGCTTCCGGTCTCCAGAGAGAAGGCGTGGCTGGGGAGAGAGGGCTGGGATCAGGCCTCTGGATTCTGATTCCTGAGCACTAAGGGGTAAGTTTGTGGCTACGAGAGGCAAGGTTAGTGATTCAAATCCACACGAGAGCACCTGGGAGGACAAGCCTGACAATCTGCTTCTGAAAGGTCACAGCCTTGATAACTATATGGGATAGAAGCTAATATGATACACTTGGGATCAGAGTCAATTTAACATTTAGCAGCAACTGCTTTTAAGGGGTCCTACAGCTTAGCAAAGGGAGCTCTGATGGTTTGTTGTTGTTAGGTGCCATCAGGTCAAGTATGACTCATAGCGACCCTATGAACAACAGATCTGAACCTTGTCCTATCGTGTGCCATCCTCACAATCTCTGACACCCTCGAGCCCATTGCTGCGGTCACTGTGTCAATCCACCTGTTGATGGTCTTCCTCTCTTTTGGTGTCCCTCCATGTTTCCAAGCATGATATCCCTTTCTAAGGAATAGTCTCTCCTAGTAACATGCCCAAAACATGTGAGACAAAGGTTCATCCTCTGCCTCCAGGGAGCACACTGGCTGTACCCTCTCCAGGAAATATCTGCTTGTCCTTCTGGCAGTCCAGGAGATATTCAGTATTCTTCTCCAACATCATAACTCAAAGGCATCAATTCTTCTCTCCTGTTTATTCAGTGTCCAGCTCTCAGACACATAGCAAATGACTGAAAAGACCATGGCCTGGATCAGGAACAGCTAAGTCCTCAAACTTACATCATTGCTTGTCAATAATTTAGAGAAGTCCCCAACTGCGGACTTTCCCCAGTGCATTACATCTCCCGAACTCCTAACTGCTGGTACCATGTATACTGATTGTGGATCAAAGTAAGATGCAGATCAGTGGTAAAGAATTGAACTGCCAATGCAAAGACTTGAATCCACTGGCTGCTCTGGGGGAGAAAGGTGGGCAATTTCCTCCTGTGTGATTTACTGCTTCTGAAAACCCACTGGGGGATCAACTATGGGTTGGGTCCAGCTGGAGAGTCAACAACAACATCTTGGCAGACGGGAGCTTCGGCAGAGTAGTCCACCAAACTTTGCTGTAGGGAGTTGCACTGCTAACCCCAAAGCCATGGCTCTCTCTCTGACTCAAACCCACCATAACTCCACTACAGAAAGATGGATAATCTCCTTCCATTTGATTTCCAGTCTTCCAAAAACCCACTGAAGGATCAGTTATGTATTGGTTCTGGCAGTGAATGAGAGAGTAAGTGACACCTTAGCAAAAGCACTAAGCTGCTATTCAAAAGACAGCAGTTCAAATCCATCAGCTGCTTTGAAGGAGAAAGACGTGAAGAAGAGCTTCGTATAAATGCACGGCTTTGGAAATCTAAGGGTCACCGTGAGTCAGAAGAGACTGACCTCGGGGGATTTGTTTTGAGCAGCTTTAGCGAAGTAGCTCTGGGAGCGCGAAGGTTAAGAACTGCGCTGTAAAGTCAAAGGTTAAAGGTTTGAGCTCATCATGGCAGCCTGCCTCCATAAAGATTTATACCCTTGGAGACTTTATTAGGCAATTCCATCCCGTTCTACAGGGTTACCACAAGTCAGAATCCATTTGATGGCAATGGGTTTGGGGTGTTTTGGTGGTTTTTTTTTTCTTTTTGGTTTATACTTTGAACTTGATAAGGAGTTGCACTATCAACTCAAAGGCACTTGGTTCGAATGCACCATCTGTTCTGTAAGAGAAAGATGGGAAATTTCCTCCCAGGCAATTTACATCTTCTGGAAACTTACTGGAGGGTCAGCCTATGAGTGGGTTCCAACTGAACCCCACATAACAACAACAATGACAACATGGGGGTGGTGCAGGAAGGCACAGGCAGAGCAGAGAGGCAGGACCCTTCTCAGTGGTGGAAACTTGATACCAGAAAGACACTCAAAAGCTGCACACAGCTTTGGGGTTCACTGAGCCCCTAAGATTCACCCCAAAACCCAAAAGAAGGAGATTGCCCTTAAGTAGTTAACCCCCTCGGTGGTCACTTCCCCCATTAACAGTTCCGGAATGAAAAGCCTTTACAGTGTATTGTAATTGCACCCAGACTTGGCTCTCTGCAAAACACTCCCGGAGGCTTCAGGGTCCCTCAAGGTTGTTGGGGACCACAAGGGGCATATATCCTGTTCCTGGCTCCCTTCTCCATCTCGGTCGTCCCACCCAGTCAAGGTGCTGATCGCAGCCTCTGTTGCCCTCCAGGGTTGGAATGGTGATGGAGAAGAGGTGGCTGTGACCGGGTGGTGCTTACCCAGGCGGAGCGTGATATTGACTGAGGTGGGGTACTGCACGTCGAAGGCCATGGATGGGCTCTGCCACCAGGTGCTCTCATCCTGGCTGTGGAAGTCGGTGAGGTAGGAGGCATTGTGGTGGCGAGCAGGGTCTGCGGCGTCGCAGCGCTGGCATTGCGCAGCAGCGCCCGGCGCGCCCACGTGCGAGCAGAAGTCCTCGGGTGGGTGACCACACGTGTGCGAGGCCTCAGCACGCCTGCCGAACGCGGCGTTCTCGAACTCCGGCAGACAGCGCTGCGCGCGCCCCGCGCCATCGTAACACGCGCCCATGCCGGCGCCCAGGGCCGCGGGAGCTAGCAGCGCCAGGCAGAGCAGGAACACGGCCGAGGCCATGGTCAAGGGCACCGACGGCTGTGCGCGCTCGTCTCTGTGCGCCCGGCTCTGTCTGTGGCTCTCGGCTCGGGTGGGAGTGGACAGCTCATAGGGTGCCACCCCGCCTCCCCTGGCGGGCGGGACCCGTGGCTGGGCTGGGAGGGTAGCAATGAGGGACCTACGACGGGCAGCATCCTCGGCCCTCTAGGCGCTCACCCCATCTTGTGGCCGTGCCGGGGAATGTCTGACTTTGGAGTGCCTTGGCTTGTCTTCTGGCCTTAGATGAGCTTGGGCACGGGACCCCTGGCTCTTTCAGGCAATTTCTGCTTCCATAAATTGAGGCTGACAAATGACGCAAGTCCATCACTGCCTTTGCGTAATGGGGTGCCGCCCATTACATGGAAATATCTACTATTAGGCCTGCTCATCGATGCTTTTGAAGTCCTGGCGTAAGTGGGGCATTAAGTGTTCTCTCAGAGGTACCTGGTCTTTTCTTTCAGGGCGTCTTGTGGCAAGAAAGTGCATTTTGGCAAGGTGGTGGCCTGGGCTTCATAGTTCCACCTCCCCTTCACTTTTACCCTAAAGTCAGTGCCTCTCTGGCTGTTCGAATCGGCTAGCAGCTCTTTGGAAACCCAGGAAGGGCCAGCCATGAGTTGGCCCCCGACTCAACAATAATGACTTTTAAATTTGAGTTCACTTTGCAATGTGCTCCGACTACTGGCTTCTTTGGCCTCAATGGGATATTAACCTGGTATCTGTGACATGGACACCTGGGTCACAACCCCTCCCTGGGTTACCACCTCAGGGAGGCCTCCTGTCTCCTCAAGTAAGATGTCTTTTTTAATTTTCTACTCCTTAAAAAATGAGTTCATCAAAGAAGAAAAGTCATATGGTCATATCAGTAAGTGTTAAAGAAAGCATTTGATCAAATTTAGCAGCCATTTCCAGAAAAATGGAATAGACTTCTTAAATGTGTCAAACACTATTTTTTTCCACAACCATCATATTAAGCAATAAAACGCTAAAGTGCTTCCATTAAAAGCAGGAAGAAAATGAGGAAAGTAGTAAGGAAATTTTTGAAAAACAAGTTTGTCTTGAGAGTGTTACAGGTTTACCTGTAGCATCCCCCCTCCTAAGTCTCTGTTGAAATCGGACCCCTGTGCCATGGATTCGTTCTTGTGTGAAAGTAGGTTTTTCCTGTTAGTGAGATTATATTAGAGTATATTGAATTCTAAGTCTAATGACTTCTGAGAAAAACAAACAAACAAGAGACACACACAGAGGAAGACTGACATAGGAGGAACACGGGTGCTCCACCCAGGAAGAAGTTGACATGGTCAAGCCCACCAAAAGAACAGCAAATCTGAAAGGTAGTATGTCACTTTCTCAAAAAGTAGCAAATAAAAATACCATTTGAAGCAAGGAGTTGGAAACAACCTAAGTGACCATCCATCAACAAACGAATGGATAGAGAAGCTGTGGTATATCCACACAATGGAATACTATGCTGCATTGAAAAGCAAGGAACTCGTGCAATATTATTAAAAATGGGTGACCTTGGAGGACATTATGCTGAGTGAAGTAGCTCAGTCACAAAAGGACAAATAGTACATGGTGCCACTGTTGTAAATCATGACTGACCTCGGGTTTTGGAGGAGACTGAGAAGGACGGGTTCAATAATGTATACTGCATTGAAACAGATGAGGGAGAAAACTGTTTAAGAGGGAAAATTATTAGCTATTTTTGTCATGACAGGAGTTCAGAGTGAAGACAGTATAGTGGAGTGGACCTGGGGGGAGGGATTGTAAAACAATGAAAGAATTTTTCTTTTACTTTTCCAAGAGAGTAGTGTACTAGCGGGGAGGGTTGGGAGGGATGAAGAGTGCAACAATGAATGAATGGAAATCCAAAAAAGTCCCTGTAAATTTTCATTGAAATTAATAATAAATTTTAAAAAATATTTTTTTAAAAAAGAAATACCATTTGATCCAGCAATTCCACCACTGGTGATATATCCTAAAGAAACCATAACTGTGCCCTCAAGCAGATACATTCACACCCGTGTTTATTGTGTTTTTGTTCACAACAGCAAAGAGTTGGAAACAACCCAAGTGCCCATCAACAAATGAATGGATAGAGAAGCAGTGATAGATTCACACAATGGAATACGATGCTGCATTGAAAAACAAGGAACTCATGAAATATTATACAAAATGGGTGACCCTGGAGGATGTTATACTGAGTGAAATATCTCGGTCATGAAAGGACAAATACTGCATAATGCCACTGTTGTAAAGCGGGACTGACATCAGGATTGGGGGTAAACTAAGAAAAGAGGGAATAAATAATATACACTTTTTTGAAACAGATGAAGGAGAGAACGGTTTAAAAGAGATATATGATTAGGTAGTATTGTCATGACCGGAGTCCAGAATGAAGGCTGCATAGTGGAGTGGACTGGAGTGGGAAAGATTGTATAAAAAGGAAAGAATTTTTTTTTACTTTTCAAAGCGAAAAGCAAACTCGGGGGGTGGAGTGGACAGGGAGGAAAGTGTGTAACAATGAATGAATGGAAATAAAAAGAAAAGTCTCTGTAAACTTTCATTAAAATTGTTGTTGTTGTTGTTATGTGCTGTCGAGTCACTTGCGACTCATAGTGACCCTATGTACAACAGCCCTAAACCCTGCTCTATCCTGTGCCAATCGCATTGCCTCTGACACACCCATCCCGATTACCCCAGTCACTGAACCAATCCACCTCATAGAGGGTCTTCCCCTCCTACTCCATCCCTCCATCCTCCCAAGCATGATGTCCCTCTCCAAGGACCAGTCCCTCCTTACAACATGTCATTAAAATTAATTTGAAAAGAGAATGAACTGCCAAAAGAGCAAATAAATAATTCTTGAAGGGAGTGCAGAGAGGTCTGTAGAGGCAAGGATAGTGAAACTTTGTCTCCTTTATTTTGGGCGTAAGTTCAGAAAGAACCAGTACTTGGAGTGAGACATCATGCTGGGAAAGATAAAGGGTCAGTGAAAGAGAGGAAGACCCTCAACTAGACTGACTGACACAGTAACTACCACCAGTGGGTTTAAACACGACAGGGATTCCAAGGATGGTGTGGGATAGAACAAGGTTCAGCTGTGTTGTTCACAGAGATACTATGCATCATAGTCAATATAATGGAGCTCTAGTGGCCTAGTAGTAAGTAGCTGTGCTGTGATACCAAAGGCATGCAGTTTGAATCCACCAGCTGCTCCAGGAAAGAAGAAAACTTCTAATGAAAGACAATTAGGATTAATAAGAGCACAATGAGACAGATGATTACAGGATAAAGCACACAAAAAAAGGCTGCAATAACAATTTAGGAAGCACAGGGAGGGATCTGGCCCCCAACGTCAGCCACGGTGTGGAGCTCCTGGAGTCTGTACAAGTGTCAGCCTCAGCGGTGGCAGCAGCTGCCCAGCCTGGTCAGTTCTGTCATGTTCTTGGTTTTTATTCCCTTCGGTCCTGCCAGCCTTTGCTTTAGCACTTACTTCCCAGTGTCAAGTCCTTTCAATTGGAAAGACCTAAGTAATAGGCCAGTACTAGATTCAGAGCTCAGTACAGAATGAATGTGCCATCAATTAAGCCTGTAAATAAAACAAGATCTTGCCCTTTACATGTCCATAATCTGGATAGGAAAACACAGAGTGCACTAAGAAATAGCCTGATGATATTTCAAAGCTTCTTCTCACTTATTTTATAAGATTGAGCTGGAATAATTTGTTTACAGTCATCTCTTCTCTCAGCAAACATATATTGTTGCCTACTGTACGCTCTGCACATGGAAGTGCATTACCTGTCCTTTGGTCACAATCCAATGAGGAGGAGAAGCCATATCTATGGCTGGAGGGAACAGGTTAATAGGGTGTTACCAAAGGGCATGCATGGAGCTTGGAGTATAAGGACGGTGAGTGGTTAATTCTGCTAGACTTGGAGGGTGCTTCACAGAAGAAGTGATATTTAATCTGTGTTGTAAAGAATGAGTAAAGGAAAGAGCTTCTCAGGAGGCATATCATATGCAAAGGTCCTGAGGTGTGAATGATTAAGGCAAGTTTGTTATGTATGTGTCTCATTGGGTTGGGAACTGGCCAGGAGTGAGACAGGATTTAAAAAACTCCTTCAAGAGGTACCAGTGCCAGGTGGCCTCACTTAGCTCCAGCCATGTTCTTCTGAATATGGAATGAAAGACCATTCTGTCTAGCTAGCATCTTCAGTGGAGATCTGTGGCCACCTATTCTCTTCCTCCACACTTTATCCTGAAGTTCTAGTTTCCTCTCCTTGTACTCAGGGAGACCTGGTAGCCTAGTGGTAAGGAGCTGCACTGCCAGTACAAAGGTATGTGGTTGCAATCCATCAGCTGCTCTGCAGGAGAAAGATGGGCAATCTCATCCGCAATTTACCACTGAAAGATCAGCTATGGTCGGATCTGACTGGTTGTTGTTGTTAATTACCATTGAGTCACTTGCAACTCACAGCGACCCCGTGTACAACAGTCTGAACCCTGGTCTGTGCCAACCTTGTCGTCTCCAGCACACCCACCTGCATTACCCTAGCCTCTGAATCAATACATCTCATCCAGGGTCTTCCTTTCTTGTGCTGTCCCTCCACCCTTCCAAGCATGTTATCCCTCTTTGAGGATTGATATGTCCTTGCAACATGCCCAAAGTCTGTCAGACTGAGCTTCAGAATCCTTGCCTCCAATAAGTAGCCTGGTTTCATCTTCTCTAGGATCAATTTGTTTGTTTTCCTAGCATTTTATCGTATATTCAATACTCTTCTCAAGCACCACAACTCAAAGGTATTAATTCTATCATCCTTAGTCATTGTCCGGTTTTCTGATGCATAGCAAGTAATTATGAAGACTGTGTCCTAGATCAAGTAAACCTTAGTCTCCAGATTGACATCGTTGTTCTTCAGTACTCTGGAGAGGTCCCTGACAGCAGATTTTCCCAGTACAATTTGTCTTTTGATTTCCTA